TCATCTAGGAGATTACCCCTTATTAAAATGTAAATCTTTCCTCTTGATATTAAATAATTATCAAACATTCATATGATTGCTTACCCTAGTTGAGTGGGATGAGGGAGAAAATGAGATAGAGTTCAGGTTTGGAGCAGGTAAGAGGGATCCTCACCTTGACAGTTAATTGGGCTTTGAAGGCTGTGACGGCCTGAGGAAGGGCTGCTCTGAAAGACCCCACCCCCGTGAGTGAGGTAGTCTGCTGGGGGTCAGAGCTTGCTTCACAGGTTACAAGTAGGGTGCTGTCTTTTAAAATTATTAATAAAAGTGGCTAGGAAAGGTGTCTGGACCTCACAGGTAACATTTTGGGTTGGTTACAACCTTAGCTTGTCTAATTGGGCACAAGTGGGGTATTGGTTAGGCACACAGACTCTAGCTTTGCCAGGGGCTCTGTCTGGATCCCAAGTGGTAACAGCATTGGGCAGACTTTGTAAGGGTGAAAACTGGTTCCACAGGAGTTGGGCAAGCAGGAAGTGCATTTACTTCCTTCCTGAGCCTTACCAAGTTTGTTAAGATCTGTCTGGCCCAATTTCTTTTCTTTTCTTTTTTGGGGATGAGAGTGTAGTTCTTCTGGAGTAAAATTCCCTTTTATACCCTCATCTTTTGTGTAGGGAAGAGAGTAGGATTTAGCTCTGATAAAAGGGGTCTGAGCTTGTGGATGCGTTTTCTTTCCTCCTTCCTTTTGATCCCTATTTACAGAAATCGGTTTTAAGGGTTATAAACTGTTACTTCTGCCTCATTTTCTTCCTGACCACTTGCTGCTGATTCAGATTACAGCTATTGACATTTTAATAAAATCCCATGAATACATTTGAAGATTTTGCATTAACCTCTAACACCATTTAATCAGTACTTCTTGGTGCCTCACACCAATAAATTATATATCTGCATTTTATCTAGGAAGTATTGACCTTCAGCACCAAAGGGTTAAGTAATACCATTAAGACAAGCAGTAGTTATTTGTCTAATAAATGTTCCTGGCACTTTGACTGGCTTGGTTCAGTTCAATTTACTAATTCACATAATTCTTTTTTTAAAACTTGTGTACATTTTTCTGTTGCACATATGCAAAAATTGAAATATATCTTAGAAAATAGGATTGTGTAGTGCATCCATACAGTGGAATATTATGCAGCAATTAAATTATTTATGAAAATTTTCTAGGGGCGCCTGGCTGGCTCAGTCGGTAGAGCACGCGGCTCTTGATCTCAGGGTTGTCAGTTCAAGCCCTGCATTGGCACGAAGCCTACTTAAGAAAACAAAACAGAACAATTTCTGATGGTGCGGAAAGGTGTGTACAATATGCAAACTGCATATGTGGTACTCTCTCACCAATATTAAAAAATATTGACACATACGAAGAAAGAGAAAGAAGACGCATGCAGAAGTAAACCAAATGTGACTAGTGAGTGCTTCTGTCTGAATGAGAGGATTAAGAATCACTGACATTTTCTTTTCGTTTCTTTTTTTAGAGATTTTATGTATTTATTTGACAGAGAGAGACACAGTGAGAGAGGGAACACAAGCAGGGGGAGAGGGAGAGGGAGAGGGAGAAGCAGGCTTCCCGCAGAGCAGGGAGCCCGATGTGGGGCTCGATCCCAGGACCATAACCTGAGCCTAAGGCAGACGCTTAACAACTGAGCCACCCAGGCACCCCGAATTACTGACATTTTCATTCTATATTTTTACTTTTCTGTTGTTTCTGTTGTATGCAGTGTTTAACCTGGACTGGGTGTCATTTTTGCAATAAAAAATAGATCTAATAAGGGATTGTAAATCATTTTACCACCTACCTCAGGAAAGATTTAAAATATAGTGAACATGCAAGGTTAAATTAATGCTTTCTCTGGGAGACAATGCATAATTGCCCCTTATGCGTTTTTAAAATTCCTAAGAGTTTTCCATTTAGCGCTTGAAGTTATCTTGTGTGTCACCATGCAGTGTTCCCCCAGATTGGTGTTTCTTCACCTGGGGATGCCAGTGTTAGCTCCTCAGTTTGCCGCAGCTGTTTGGGGAACAGTAATTCAGAGTTTCACAAAATTAATGGCAGTTATGAAAATCCTGAAGCATTTTAATTTTACTTCTCTGTCTTGTGAAATTAGGTTATTTTATTTTTAAAATAAGCTTTTTATTGAAGTGTAACACACATTCACAAAAGGGCACAAATCTTATGAATTTTCATAACCCTGGTAACCACGTCGTTCTATTTACAATCCTACCTAAGAAAGTATATTTTTGTTCAGGGTTCTGCGGTCTCCAGAAGTTACACTCAAGATATTTTGTACTTTTTGTTCTCATAATTGCATTAAGTCTTTGAGTTTTTACATTTTTCAAGGAGCTCTAAAGTTTCATTCAAAATATTGTCATTATTCTTAGTTCAGGGTAGGAAAATTGGCCCTTATAGATTAAATAATAACTGCAAAATAATAACTGCAAAATTATTGACATCTAGCCTCTGCAGGTTTCATTTTTCTTTCATTCCCAACTGTGGCAGTATTTTGCCCCAGTCGGCTGGTTGTGTGGAACTTGATTCCTGGGCCTCCGCATATGATACAGCTTAGGTTGCTAATCTGAGGAAGCAGATCAGCAGCCAGCAGTAAGTGTGTCAGGCCTAGAAACCCTAGACCGAGCTGGGAGGAACTTTAGAGGTCATTAGCCTACAATGGGGAAACTGAGTTTTGGAAGGTTACATGCCTTGCCCAGGGTCGTGGACTTGGCACCAGAGCTGAATCTAGAATCCTGGTCCTAAACCCCATTATAAACCATGCTAAGCCCCTATTCTCATCTTTAAGCTCACCCTTTCTACTAAAAATTCAACCCTCAGACTGTGAAATCGACTTTTCCAGAAAGATAAATAACCTAACATGTTTTTCAGCCAAACTTCTTAATGGGGATAACCTAACAGCATCGACCTGCTGTGGAAAATATCCCTTGGGTTACTTCGGGTGAATGAGGGGTGGTGTGGGGATAGTATAAATGCCAGTCTGTAATTGTTTAGAGCAGTTCTGGGAGTGCATTCAACTGGAATAACCCTGGCAATAGGGAAAGTGTGGCGTGATGTCGACTTGTGACCCTTCCCTGGGGAGTGAGCTATGTCAGGAGACGTGGCAGTGCTTCTGGAATACGGTCTCTTGTCTGTTCCTGGGCACTGGACAGGGGGACAGGCTACGGTGCCTGGGAAATGACCATCGATGTGTTATGCCTTTTTGTTTTTGAGATTTTGTTTCAGTTGACTAAAGGTAGATCAGTAAATAAAGCCTCTCTTTGATTTTCCAAGGGAGGCCAGACAACACATATTTAGTAAGTGTTGTTCACTGTGGTGGGCCCTGGGGACTTAGGGCTTAATAAAACATGTCTGGTAAGGACTGAAGTCTGTGGGGCTGGCAGTTCCAAGGAGAGGTGACCACTGCCCTCCAGAAATCTCGGTTCTGTTGGTATGTTGGATTCACGACATGCATAGGGTCTCATCAGAGCCTACTGACTTTTGCCTGCCTGTTTATCAGAAAGCATACCTCCTCAGGCCCACCTGCAGCCATCCTTGGCCTGACCTTCAGTGCTCTCCACAGTCGCGTCCACCAGACCCATTCTGCCCTTTCTCATTCTGCTCCCAGAGGACACGGCTTCCTCAGAGGCCAGGCTGATTGTTCCGTGCCCAAATATCTGTGGCTGTTCTTACTTTTTTGAGCTTTTGAGCATGTTGTCACCTTGTTTAGATTGCCTCCTCCTCCCCTTCTTCTTCAAATCCTGCCCAACCTTACAGGCCCAACCTCATTCCCACCTTCTCTTGTCGGAGCTCCTGGGGCACCTCCCCCCCTCCCCCGCTGTGGGTGACATAGCCACGGCTCAGCCTGCTGGGGAAGAGAGTGGGCTCTGGAAGGCTGAAGCCTTTCCTGAATCTAGACCTCTTCATCTGTAAGAATGGGAGTAACCAATCGTTACCTGGCCCACAGTTGTGCCGACTAAATGAGTTCATACCATTGGCCTGTAGAACAAACAGTACGGGGCCCATAAGTCCTCATTAAGTATTAGTTGTTATTCCTTCTCACGTGTATTCGATCCGGTCTTCCTCGTGCTACAGTCTCACCACTTTAAGTCGCCATTTGTGGGCCTCTAGTGAAATTATAAAGCCCTCTCATGAAGAGAGTCTGGATTTTATACTTTCTATTGACCCTTTTCAGTCCTACCTGCGCATATAATAGCTCCCCAAAACATAGCGCTTAAAATGGAGCTGTTACTGTCTTAAAAGAAAATAGATGGAACAGAGGTTAAGGAACTGAAGAGAAAAGATAGGCTTCAGTTCACGGATGGAGTTTCTTACGATTCTCAGAGCGTGTCATTTGTTCCTATTTGCACTGTTGTTGAGTCGAATGAGCTCTTCTGTCACAGTCACTAGAGGTATGAACATCGTGTAGCAAGAATGCTAGCAATTTCCGAGGCTGCCTTAGACACTCCTCTTCTCTGGGCCGGCGGTGGAAGGGAATCTTGAGACGGTAAACTCCGGTGTATCAGGATGCCTCAGAGCCAGTGGGACGTGAGCGGGCCGTTGCTAATACATCTCCCTTGCTGAGGGGTGTAGGAGAGTCACCGGGGTGGGGGTGTGTGGGTGTGTGTGTGTTGGGGTTCCCACGCCTTCAGCCACCCTCTCTCTGCCTGTCCCTCCTCCTTTATTAGCAGCTCAGGAATTCACAAGCACCTCAGCTGTTGGTGCTCACAACATGCGGAGGAAATCAGGTTACTCTCCGGCGGTGGGAAGAGGTGGGGACCCAGGCAGAAAGAACTCAGTGAAAAGCCAGTTGCAGACGGGAGGGAGTCGTGGTGTTGGCCGGAGCTGCTGGAGGGGTCTTTTGCGGGGTCCCCCACCCCGCCCCCGGCAAGTCTTGGACTTCAGCCAGGGTCTCCCGCAGAGCCCTGTGGGTGTCCTTTCCCTGATGATGAAAATGCCACATTTCTCCTTCTCCTAGGCTGGAACAAGACATTAAAAAGTTAAAGGCCGACCTGCAGGCCAGCAGACAAGTGGAACAGGAGCTCCGCAGTCAGATCAGCTCCCTCTCCAGCACCGAGCGGGGGATCCGCTCTGAAATGGGCCAGCTCCGGCAGGAGAACGAGCTGCTGCAGAACAAGTACGTGCGCCTTGTGGGCCTTTGGTTGCGAGCCAAGTGACCTCACTGTTCCTGTGGCTTCCAGGGACTGGAGCAAAAGATGTGTGATGACAAAGGGACCTGGCAGAGGGGGTTTTAAATGAAATGTTTAAAATTTTTAATGTAGTACCAGATACTCAACATGTTACAAAAATGTATAAAAACTTGTTTCATCGCAACAGTTTATTAATATTACTGTTCTTTCTTTTTTCATTAAGTTCTTCTCTTAGTTTAATATAGTCATTGAGCTTTTGTGATACTATAAGTAAAACTGACGAGCAGTCGTTCTGCCACAATTTGAAAATCCTGCTCCTTTGGATGAAAGTTTCCAGAGGAAAAGACTCTATTTATTGATATCTGGAACTAAAAAATGACGTTGAACTTTGATTTTATTTGAAGAGGCAAGCCAAAAGCCAGCTCTTCTGTGTGAATTTGTTTATGCTTCCCATTGATTCATCCTGGAATTACTTCTTGACTCAATATCGATCTTTTTTTTTTTTTTTTAATCTCTCAGCAGTGTGCGCCTGGGGTAATGATTACTATGTTAGGCTCTGGGCTTTCCCCATTGAAAGAAGAGTCCTTCAACATTCTTGAGGAACACAACTCAAAGCTAGAGTATTATAAGCACGTAACTTCTCCATTGCTTCTGACGTGTATACGTGATGGCTCGCACTGACAGAGGGCATCTCACCTTACGCTGATATTCTGAGATGAACTCACCTTATACTGATATAGAAAGCTGGGGGTGGTAGTAGGCAGGGAAGGGAATATGGCTGAAATTTCTATCTGAAATTAAGCACCCTGTGACTCTTAACTCCGGGGTCTATTTTGGGATACTTTGAGAAAACGTCTCACAGCTGGAAAAGGAAGGCTGCAGCATGACAGTATTCAGGCAAAGAAAAACCTTCCCCATCCCACCCTTTACCTTGGCTTCTGTGGGGCTGGTTCCATCGGTAGTTCTTTGATCAACTCCGGTTCTATCACGGTGCTTTGGGGCACAACTAGAATTAGTTGTACAGCTGTCTTTTCCTCTGATAGAAACTTGTCTTATCCTTTTTTCCTGGATCGCCTTCTGTAGATTGCTTACCATAGTAGGGCAAAGGCTAGGTCTTAGTCTGTATGTTGTTAGGCAGCTTGTTTGTTGGTGTTTAGGAATTGTTAAAGAATAACGACAATATGTTTCTCCCGGGCACTCTGGAAGCTGACATTTATGATTTGCTATTCAAAAGAGGAGCCACGTTTCTCTAGGGTTTCTAGTGGGCATTTCTGATGATGAAACTCTGTATGATAATCATTTCCATATAGATTACATAATGCTGTGCAAATGAAGCAAAAAGACAAACAAAATATCAGCCAGTTGGAGAAAAAGCTAAAAGCTGAGCAGGAAGCCCGAAGTTTTGTAGAAAAGCAATTAATGGAGGAGAAGAAAAGGAAGAAGTTGGAAGAAGCTACTGCTGCCCGGGCCGTTGCATTTGCTGCCGCGTCTAGGTATGTCTGTGCTGCTCCTCCCACAACCCTCCCTCCCCCCCCCCCCCCCCCCCCACCCTGCTCCTGGCGCTGCATCTGAGGTGGGCCTGCCTTGCACCAAGACCCAAGACCAGCATGGGAGTTTGAGGCCTCGGGCAGGGTTGAAATACAACCATCACGCACTGATAGGTTGCCACCAAGTACTGTTTCCTGAGATGGCCAAGGCCATTCAACTTGCGCGGTCTTGTAACAGCTTCGTCCCTCAGTGACCTCATCTAGGGAGTGGGATGGGGGTGTCACCATGCCTCCCACACCCAGGAGGCAAAGTGCTGCGCATAAAAGGGTTTCCGGTCACTTTCTCTGTGGCCAACAACTACTAAACACTTGGAGAGATTCCAGTCTGGAATTTCATGCCCTTTATAGAACTGTCTTTACTCTCTACTCTCAGGTGTATGTGTTTCTGAAGTTTTTATCTTAAAATAGAAGAAAGAAAAATCTTGGTTGCCCAAGTCCTTTGTATTGACTGACTGACTGCTCCTGTCTTTGTCAGGTATCAGCAAACTGTCACATGAGCTGGAAAAGATGAAAAAAACAAAACCATAAGTCATTATTAGACATCGTTGAATTTGTGGAGGGTTGGGAATTGGGACTACTTCTATACCATTGAAAAGTATTCAAGTATTCCAGAAATTGAATTCCAGCAAGGAGGGAAGATCCTTAAGAGGCTTAAGAGCCTTCACTTTATGGCTTTTTCTTTTCTTTGTGTTTTGTTTTTTTGTTTTGTTTTGTTTTGTTTGACTAGCGAAGTCCATCTGTGTGGTGGGGGTCAGTTATGGTTTTATAGTTGCAGAGTGAGGATACATTATGATTGATTTCATTTTAAATTTTTATCGTAATTTGTATCGATATAATTCTTTTTAAAAAATACTTTATTTATTTGAGAGAGCACATGAGCAGAGGGAGAAGCAGGCACCCTGCTGAGCAGGGAGCCCGATGTGGGACTCGATCCCAGGACCCTGGGATCATGACCTGAGCCGAAGGCAGACGCTTAACTGACTGAGCCACCC